TCTGGACCCAGTTCATTTCATACTAGGGCTTCCTTTAACTAATATAACTAAAGGTGCTGCTAAATTGGTTAACCATATTCTCACAGAGACTAGGTGTCTGATTACTTTGAAATTTATTACTATACAGTATTTATAAAGCGCCGATAGTTCGCTCAGTGCTGTACATTACAAAGTGGGACAGAACATGTGACAGAACAATAACAATACAATGCAAAACATGAGGGGATTGAGGGCCCTGCTCTTTCGAGCTTACAATCTAGGAGGGAGGGGATGGTGGCACAGGAGGAGAAAGCTGTGGGGGATGGAGTGGTAGGAAGAGAGGAGGAGGTCGGCAAGTTAGCAGGGGGTGGGGTAGGCTTCCCTGAAGAGGTGGGTTTTCAGGGTGCACCTAAAGGAGAGGAGAGTAGGTGATAATCTGATGGGTTGGGGCAGGGAGTTCCAGAGGATGGGTGACACCCTGGAGAAGTCCTGGAGGCGGGCATGGGAGGAGGAGACCAGGGAACTAGAGAGAAGGAGGTCTTGTGAGGAGCGGAGTGTGCGTGCTGGGCGGTACTTGGATATTAGGTCAGTGATGTAGTTCGGGGAAGTGTGATGGACGGCTTTGTACGTCAGTGTTAGGATTTTGAATTTGATCCGTTGCGCAATCGGAAGCCAGTGGAGGGATTGGCAGAGGGGGGTGGCAGAGATGGAGTGGTTGGAAAGGTGAATGAGTCTGGCTGCCATATTCAGGATCGACTGAAGCGGGGATACCCAGCGGCGAGGCAGGCCAGTAAGGAGGGAGTTGCAGTAATCGAGTCGTGATATGATGAGGGAGTGGATGAGCTGTTTAGTGGTTTCTGGGGTTAGGAACGTGCGTATTTTGGCGATGTTGCGGAGGTGGAGTCTGCACGAGCTAGTTAAAGATTGGACTTGGGGCTGGAAGGATAGGTTGGAGTCCAGAATGACACCAAGTACTCTGGCCTGCAGGGCGGGTTTGATGGTGGCGTTGTTGGACATGATAGAGAAGTCAACGGGGAGTGGTGTCCGGGCTGGGGGGAAGACAAGAAACTCGGTCTTGGAGAGGTTCAGTTTAAGGAAGTGGATCGACATCTAGTCAGATATGTCGCTCAGTAGGTGTGTGATTCGGGCGGAGACTGAGGGGGTGAGGTGGGGGGGGTTGAGAGATAGATTTGTGTGTCATCGGCATATAGGTGGTAGTTGAAGCCGTGAGTGTATGAGTTGGCCAAGGGAGGAGGTGTAGATGGAGAAGAGAAGGGGCCCGAGGACGGAGCCTTGAGGGACCCCAACAGAGAGGGGGAGGGAGGGGGAGGTGGTAGCATTATAGGCAACGCTGAAAGAGCGTTGTGACAGGTAGGATGAGAGCCAGGAGAGAGCAGAGTCTCTGAGACCGAGGGAGTGTAGTTTTTTGAGGAGGAGGGGGTGGTCGACTGTGTCAAAGGCCGCAGAGAGGTCAAGGAGTAGGAGCACTGAATAGTGGCCATTAGTGGCCTACCCCCCCCCTCCTGGGTTGATTTATGTAAGCATATTCATGGTGTTTTCAAATGGGCAGTCAAAGTCAAAGTCAGGTATGGAGTATTTGACTGCCTGTCTGAATAATAGCCTTTCTCTATTCAATAATATCTGGCATCCCTGGAATTCTTTGGAACCAGGACCGTAAAATGCCTAGTCAGGGGGATCTGGTTTGTGTGGGACGTGTTAAGGGTGCCCAATGGGGTGTAGGTTATCACTATCCTCTCTTATCTTTTCTTCCACTCGTATTCCTTTTTTCTTTTTTTTTTGTGACATACTCAGGGCAGTGTATTGGATTATCTATAAATTGGAATTTTCTCTTTGTCCACCCTCCACCACATAATAACCATCATAGCTTGATAGTTTATTTGGTCTTTCTTTTCTCAAATAAGAGGGTCTTCGTAGCCGCAACACTGTTATGTGATTGATGTATAATTTATGTGACTCACTCATTCTTTTTGAATAGTGATCAGTCCTCTGGAATATTCCATAGACATTGATGCCTATTGTAATTTCTTTTTGATATATATGCTGCCTTAATCCTTTCTTCTGGAATGTTACATATTCTTGCCAAGTGTCATGTCACTATTTTGTGGTTGTTTTTGTTATGCTTTGTCTACTTTCTGGCAAATTTGAACAAAAATGAAGGTTAAAAAAACCCCCAAAGGGCCACATGTGGCCTCGGTCAACAGGTTGGGCACAGGGGATCTATACCAATCCTACGATCACGGTGGTTTGCAAGTAAAACATTGACCTAATAACATTGACTGTTTTCTTTGTATACCTGGGTGGATGTGTGCTCCCATTCCTTCAACACAAATTAACAAGAAGGGGATCTTCTGGAATGACAGTAAAAGTGACGGCTTATTTGCTGTTCTGCATTTAGAGCGCACTGGTTAACTTTTTCATTCCGCAGGAAACATAGTAAACTAACCAGTTGTCAGTGGATTTATGAGCCTTTGCAGCCTGTGTATGATTCAGCAGCACTGACAAACCTTTTAGAGTTGTGCGGCTCACATTCTTCTCAGACAACCAAGGAGTAAGTAGAGCATAGCCCAGCAGGAGATTTCTTCCAAGGCTTGTGCTGTCACCGCTGGTTGCCTCTGTGTGCGGGAAAGTTTAATATCACCAGAGGCCATCTAGATAAATAAAAACACTCCAATTAGAATTGTTTTCTAAAGCATAACGTCTAAATTATTGTGAAATTAGTAGGCGGCGGCTTTCATAACTGAGAAAGCACATGAGGTCATCTGGAGCAATGGCAGGGACCTCTGCTGTTGAAGAAATGGAGTGGCAAATGCAGACATCATTGCATTAAGTCATTGCTGAACAGTTTTTATTATCCAGTTGTAAATGTGTTACGGCTAACTGGTAAGTTGCTGTCCTAATGCACACTTGAAAAGTCATAAAATTATGGACAAATAAACTGCTCCCCCCCCCCCCCCACCATGTATTGTAGGACTATAATTATATGTGTGATAATGTAATGCAAACCTTTTAACAACAGAGATGCAAAATGTGAACTCAGTCTTAAAGAGGGTTGTGACATACAAAATAAAGCTTTCATTTGTGATTTCATCTGACAGTCATTATAGTGATGGAAATGAATAGAGAGCATATGGAAGTTCTGTCAGAGATAGAAAGGTGTTTTTTAACGCTTTCTATGCAGCATGTACTAGATTCTATTAAAGTGCACTGGATCAGAAGTAAACTGAGAATAAACAGGCTGCATGTAATCTGATCCTAGAGCACATAACTGCTTCCCACTCCCCTTTGTCAGTAATCAGGTGATCCATGAATCTCTTTTGCTCACCTGTTCATAATGCATGAGGGGTATTCCCAGACCCACTGCTGTTTCTTTCATACAGAAAGTCCCATTCAGATGACTGTTCTTTGTAAACTGGACAGTGGCTTACATGTGAAAAAAATAATACAAGAAAACATTTTATTGCTTATGGCAACTGTCATTTCCAAAGTGTAGAGTTGAAAATAAAATTGGGATTCAAACTGGTAGCAATTGGTGTAAACAATTTTCTTAAATGTTACATATTTACCACATGTAGCCTAAAGGTGGAGCCTTAAGTAGCTCTAGACAACAGCTGAAGTCTGGACTATTGTAAACAGAGACGTGAATGACTCAAAAGAGCAACATCCTCCCCTGCCCGCCTGCTTTGCTGTAAGCAATGTCTGAGAGAAATTCTGAACTGTGGAAGTTATGGCCAGAAATAATAAGGAACTAGTCATTACTATTGTCTATGGGCTCCTTGCAGCTCCTTTCCCCATTACTGACTTATCATGCCTATACTATGTCATTGTATGGAGGCAGCCATCTTGGTAGAGATGAGACTTTGCTTCCTTATGTCAGAGCTGCCCCCTGATGACTGGTGGTCTGATGACTTATGGAGGAATAATCAAACCTCAGCAGGAAAGGATCAGAAAGTGTGCTCAACAGAATGGATGAAGCAGAAGCAGGGATATGTTTACGCTGCAAGTCCTCAGATACAACTTTCTCTACAGCAAAGATAACCAGCAGTACAGAAGTGGCATTTACAAATCTCATGAGACTAGCAGTCTGAAGCACAGTGCCTTAAATGATCTCACACTGCAGATATACAGCTATGAGGCTCAAGGAACAGGAGTACCTAGGCATCTCACACCAGGGAGTGCACTGCTGTTTTTCAGGAGGAGCTAAAGGCTAAAGAAACACGTTTCGGGGAACTCCTTAGGCTTATGCAGGACATACATGGGTTGAATTCCGAATGAGTTTTCGTCTGAAAACCTAAAACATTGTTCGCTCGGTATTCCGATGAAATCAATGATTTAGAAAATCAGCCGACCAAGTCATAAAGTTCATCCTATATAACAGGTGAAACTTCTGATTCCTTCCAGGTCACAGCTCATGAGTATATTCTTTTCAGAAAAACTATCGTACAATATGACCATCATTGAGTTGAAAATCAGTCGTTTTTCATGAATTTTCCAACATGCCCGATCACCGAAAAGGGGAGAAACCACTAACCACTGACCCAAAAACAGAGAAAAAATCGGCCGATTATTCTTAGGTCCCATTTTCGAATGAAAAATCGGTCCAATTTCAACCCATGTATGTCCGACATTAGTGAACAACTTTAAGCAGTGGATTCAAAAAGCCCACCTGAAAGTTATTAAGGGTATGCTGGATTGTCATATATTAGAAAGTTTAGCATGCTTTGCAGGCAGAATATTATGCATAAACTCATAATATATATATATATATATATATATATATTGTGAGAGCTCGCTTATTCGTGGTAGAGCTTCTTCAAAGCACACGGCACTCGCTTATTTTTAAGGGCCTTTTTGCCCACTTTTATTTAAATGAAAGTTCAATAACATAAAGGTTTCCCACGCAGGGGTATCCACCATCACACGAATTCAAATGAACAGTATTCAGCCTCCTGGCTTGTACGCAGTTTTAAGTCTGCCTCCTGCAGACTCTTCCCAAAGTATGGCACTAGCCCACAGCTAGTCTGGCTTCCACCTCTCCTAGGTGTAGCCCACCTGACTCCACGGCAGAGACCTCCTGCCGGGGTAGAATCCTCCTGACTCCTATCTGCCGGGGTGGAGCCCTCCTGACTCCGTTTGCCGGGGTGGAGCCCAGAATCATGGCCTGGCTTCCCCTAAAAGGCCTGCACACACCTGTGCAATCAGCACGCTGGCTGCTCCCAAAATATGGGCCCAGGATTGGAGATTTCATCCCTCCCAAATCTCTAAGAAATCTCCAGGCTACAGGTCCCAAAACAGGCTTTACCAACCAAAGAGGAAACTGATAAACCAGTTTCCTCTGCATTAGGAGATCTGCCTGGAGCCCCTCAACCTCTATGGTTGAGAATCCTGGGTCTCCATCGTGCTTTCCACCGTGGCAGGATACCGCACTGCCACAATATATATATATATACAGTATATATACAGTGAGGAACAGAAGTATTTGAACACCCTGCGATTTTGCAAGTTCTCCCACTTAGAAATCATGGAGGGGTCTGAAATTCACATTGTAGGTGCATTCCCACTCTGAGAGACAGAATTTAAAAAAATAATTCAGGAAATCACATTGTATGAATTTTAAAGAATTTATTTATCTTGCAGTGCTGAACATAAGTATTTGAACACCTAAGAAACAGCAAGAATTCTGGCTCTCAGAGACCTGTTACTGTGCCTTTAAAAAGTCCACCTCTACTCCACTCATTAATCTAACTTAGTAGCACCTGTCTGAGCTCTTTAAAGATACCTGTCCACCTCACAGTCAGTCAGAGACGCCAACTACTACCATGGGCAAGACCAAAGAGCTGTCAAAAGACACCAGAGACAAAATTGTGGACCTCCACACGGCTGGAAAGGGCTACGGGGCAATTGCCAAGCAGCTTGGTGAAAATAGATCAACTGTTGGAGCAATTGTTAGAAAATGGAAGAGGCTAAAGACGACTGTCAGTCTCCCTCGGACTGGGATTCCATGCAAGATCTCACCTCGTGGGGTATCGCTGATGATAAGAAAGGTGAGGAATCAGCCCAAAACCACAAGGGAGGAGCTGGTCAATGACATGAAGAGAGCTGGGACCACAGTTTCAAAGGTCACTGTCGGTAGAACACTAAGCCGTCATGGTTTCAAATCATGCGTTGCACGGAAGGTTCCCATGCTCAAGTCATGACATGTCCAGGCCCGTCTGAAGTTTGCCAATGGCCATCTGGATGATCCAGAGGAGGCATGGGAGAAAGTCATGTTGTCAGATCTCAGTAGAACTTTTTGGTCTAAACTTCACTGGTCGTGTTTGGAGGAAAAAGAAGGATGAGTTGCATCCCAAGAACATTATCCATACTGTGAAGCATGGGGGTGGTAACATCATGCTTTGGGGGTGCTTTTCTGTGAAGGACGACTGCACTGTATTAAGGAGAGGATGAATGGGGCCATTTATTGTGAGATTTTGAGCAACAACCTTCTTCCCTCAGTCAGAGCATTGAAGATGGGTCGTGGCTGGGTCTTCCAACATGACAACGACCCGAAGCATACAGCCAGAATAACCAAGGAGTGGCTCTGTAAGAAGCATATCATGGTTCTGGAGTGGCCTAGCCAGTCTCAAGACCTGAATCCAATAGAACATCTTTGGAGAGAGCTGAAACTCCGTGTTGCTCAGTGACAGCCCGGAAACCTGACAGATCTAGAGGAGATCTGTGTGGAGGAGTGGGCCAAAATCCCTGTTGCAGTGTGTGCAAACCTGGTCAAGAACTACAGGAAACGTTTGACCTCTGTAATTGCAAACAAAGGCTTCTGTACCAAATATTAACACTGATTTTCTCAGGTGTTCAAATACTTATGTTCAGCAGTGCAAGACAAATACATTCTTTAAAAATCATACAATGTGATTTCCTGAATTTTTTTTTTTAATTCTGTCTCTCAGAGTGGGAATGCACCTACAATGTGAATTTCAGACCCCTAAACACCTAAGATTAGATGATTTCTCCATGATTTCTAAGTGAGAGAACTTGCAAAATCGCAGGGTGTTCAAATACTTCTGTTCCTCACTGTATATATATATATATATATATATATATATATTTAAATAAATATATATATTTACAGAAATATCTGTTACTGCCTGATAGCCAAGTAAAAAATGCTGCTCTCGAAAAAAGTATTATAGCTATAGCATGTGTACAGCCCCATCCAGCTGTAATGGTAGAATTTAGATGGGTGGTCAAGGAGCAGTAAAAATGAGCTCAACTGCCCCCTGGCTGCCTGTATGAAAGAGCCCTAGCCATCACTGGAAACAGTTGAATTTGGTAATTGGGGTGGAGGTATGTATGTTTTCCTTCACGTTTGGCTTAGTGTAACTCTTGTTGCTTTTTTTTCCAATATTAAGTCTTGGTTGCTTGAAAAGGGGTTGCCTAATTTTCGCATAGTATACAAACCTCATTAAAAGCCACATATTGTTTTTTTCTTTACTTTGGTTTCTTGCCTTATTTATCATAGTTGCAACAAAAAAAATACAATTTTTAACATTTTTATTTTTATTTTAGCTAAATGAGAAAATATAAGTATACGTATTTAAGATAAATTATAATTGTAAAAATAAAAGACCAAAACTTATCATAGTTTCCCTTTACATACATGAATAAGTAATTCTGCTTAGGGGTATTCAAACATACAGATATGTGTATTGTATATATTATTATATATAATGAATTTATTAGCTCAGCTGAACTTCAGCTGAGAATTCTATTCAGAAATGAAAATAGGAATATGCTTTTTTTTCCTTTTCATATGAAGAAGATACCGTTCACTGTAATAACCATCCTGCAACATCTGCAAGTGCAAATTACTGAATGAAAGAACTCAGCCATTAATATTAATGATATCCTGGACTTTATTCTGTGTGGTAACAGATCAGAGTAAATGATTTCATGCCTTCTTTCATTCACAGACCAAATTCTCCAGATCAAAGTCAAGCAGAACAAAGGTGTCCATGTTCCTTAACCAAATAGGTCACGGTTTCTTTTAAAAGTAAGATGTCAGGGCTTCTATAATCAACTTGTGTGATGGACTCATAGAAAGAATAAAACATGTGGGGTTCAAGTAATTACGAGTAGCTTATAAAAAGATATATAGAGGGATTGACAAAAATTGAAAAAAAAAGACAAATAGATTAGAAGACAGTATGGGGTTCTGCTTAGAGCCACTGCTATATAGCCTTGAGTCCTGAAATTGATTATCAGTAGAAACATTGTCTGGACAGAATTTGTATGCTCTCCCATATTTGAATGAATTCCCTATAAGTGATCAAGTTCCATTCCAAAGTCAAACAAATGTGTGAAGTAATTAGCTTCTAAATAAATTAGCATTGGCGCACTGTAGTAGAGACTTTAAAATGTTCAATCCACTTAACACAATAAGCAGGGATTAGTACAGAGTGGACATTATATTGATTATATATAAGGTAGTTAGGTTACTGATAAAGGTGCAATTTACAGGGAGGTAGCTACTGAGAATGCGTTTTGTAGGGGTAAAACTATGGACAGTGTTTTTTGCAGGGGCGGAATTAGTGACAATGCATTATTCAGGGTCAGAACTAACAACAGTGCATTATGCAGGGATGGAATTAGAGGCAATGCATCATGTAGGTGTAGAACTGCTGACAATACAGTATGCAGGGGTGGAACTACTGACAATGCATTATGCTTGGGATGAACTACTGACAGTGCATTATGCAGGGGTGTAACTACTGACAATGCTTTATGCAGGGGTGGAACTACTGACAATGCATTATGCTGGGGCAGAACTACTGACAATGCATTATGCTGGGGAAGAACTACTGACAGTGCATTATGCAGGGGTGTAACTACTGACAGTGCATTATGCTGGGGCAGAACTACTGACAATGCATTATGCTGGGGCAGTCCTACTGACGATGCATTATGCAGGGGTGGAACTACTGACAGTGCATTATGCTGGGGCAGAACTACTGACAATGCATTATGCAGGGGTGGAACTACTGACAATGCATTATGCAGGGGTGGAACTACTGACAATGCATTATGCTGGGGCAGAACTACTGACAATGCATTATGCTGGGGAAGAACTACTGACAGTGTACTATGCAGAGGTGTAACTACTGACAGTGCATTATGCTGGGGCAGAACTACTGAGGATGCATTTATGGAGGGGTGGAACTACTGACAGTGCATTATGCTGGGGCAGAACTACTGACAATGCATTGTGCCGGGGCAGAACTACTGACAATGCATTATGCAGGGGTGGAACTACTGGAAAAAGCATTATTCAGGGGTGGAACTACTGACAGTGCATTATTCTGGGGCAGAACTACTGACAGTGCATTATGCTGGGGCATAACTACTGACAATGCATTATGCAGGGGTGGAACTACTCACAGTGCATTATGCTGGGGCAGAAATACTGATGATGCATTATGCAGGGGTGGAACTACTCACAGTGCATTATGCTGGGGCAGAACTACTGACAGTGCATTATGCTGGGGTGGAACTACTGACAGTGCATTATGTTGGGGCAGAACTACTGACGATGCATTATGCAGGGGTGGAACTACTCACAGTGCATTATGCTGGGGCAGAACTACTGACGATGCATTATGCAGGGGTGGAACTACTGACAGTGCATTATGCTGGGGCAGAACTACTGACGATGCATTATGCAGGGGTGGAACTACTCACAGTGCATTATGCTGGGGCAGAACTACTGATAATGCATTATGCAGGGGCAGAACTACTGCCAGTGTATTATGCAAGAGCAGAACTACTGACAGCATTATGCAGGATTGAAACTACCAACATTGGTTTATACAGGGGTGGAACTACCAATTGTACTTTATGAAGGGGTGGGACTACTGGTGATTCATTAGGTAGGATTGTAACTACTGGTAGTTCAATATACAGGATTGAAAATACCAACAGTATCTTACATAGGCATGTGATTGCTGACAGTGCCTTCTGCAGAGGTGGAAATACTGACAGTGTATTATGCAGGTGTACAACTATGAACAGTGTATTATGCAGAAATGAACTACTGACATTGGATTATGCAGGTTTGGACCTCCCAACAGTACTTTAGGCAGGGGTGGAACAGCTTTCTGTTTATTTTATAGGGGTAAAACTATGGACAGTGTATTATACAGGGGTGGAACTTCAAACATTGGGCTATGCAGGCTTTTGACTACTGACAGTACTTTATGCAGGGGTGTAACTGCTGCCAGTGTATTATGCAGTGGTGGAAATTCTGGTGGTGTATTATGCAGGGTGGAACTACTGACATTGAGCTATGTGACT